AGTCTCCGTATAAATGCACCTGCACTGTGATAGTCTCAGAGGTCTGTTTAAAGCGCAGAGAGCATCATGAAGAACAAGGAACACACCAGGCAGGTCCGAGATACTGTTGTGGAGAAGTTTAAAGCCGGATTTGGATACAAAAAGATTTCCCAAGCTTTAAACATCCCAAGGAGCACTGTGCAAGCGATAATATTGAAATGGAAGGAGTATCAGACCACTGCAAATCTACCAAGACCTGGCCGTCCCTCTAAACTTTCAGCTCATACAAGGAGAAGACTGATCAGAGATGCAGCCAAGAGGCCCATGATCACTCTGGATGAACTGCAGAGATCTACAGCTGAGGTGGGAGACTCTGTCCATAGGACAACAATCAGTCGTATACTGCACAAATCTGGCCTTTATGGAAGAGTGGCAAGAAGAAAGCCATTTCTTAAAGATATCCATAAAAAGTGTCGTTTAAAGTTTGCCACAAGCCACCTGGGAGACACACCAAACATGTGGAAGAAGGTGCTCTGGTCAGATGAAACCAAAATCGAACTTTTTGGCAACAATGCAAAACGTTATGTTTGGCGTAAAAGAAACACAGCTGATCACCCTGAACACACCATCCCCACTGTCAAACATGGTGGTGGCAGCATCCTGGTTTGGGCCTGCTTTTCTTCAGCAGGGACCGGGAAGATGGTTAAAATTGATGGGAAGATGGATGGAGCCAAATACAGGACCATTCTGGAAGGAAACCTGATGGAGTCTGCAAAAGACCTGAGACTGGGACGGAGATTTGTCTTCCAACAAGACAATGATCCAAAACATAAAGCAAAATCTACAATGGAATGGTTCACAAATAAACATATCCAGGTGTTAGAATGGCCAAGTCAAAGTCCAGACCTGAATCCAATCGAGAATCTGTGGAAAGAACTGAAAACTGCTGTTCACAAATGCTCTCCATCCAACCTCACTGAGCTCGAGCTGTTTTGCAAGGCGGAATGGGCAAAAATTTCAGTCTCTTGATGTGCAAAACTGATAGAGACATACCCCAAGTGACTTACAGCTGTAATCGCAGCAAAAGGTGGCGCTACAAAGTATTAACTTAAGGGGGCTGAATAATTTTGCACGGCCAATTTTTCAGTTTTTTATTTGTTAAAAACGTTTGAAATATCCAATAAATTTCGTTCCACTTCATGATTGTGTCCCACTTGTTGTTGATTCTTCACAAAAAATTACAGTTTTATATCTTTATGTTTGAAGCCTGAAATGTGGCAAAAGGTCGCAAAGTTCAAGGGGGCTGAATACTTTCGCAAGGCACTGTAGATACATTTTGTTTGAACAACTAATTGGTTAATCGATTAACTGTCCAGCTCTGCTTATAAAACGACAGTTTATAAGTAGAACACCGCAGATTTGATGCCACCTGTTTGTTGGTCATATTCAGGTGCTTCCTGTGTGCTCTGAACCAGAACAAACACTAGAGATGCTGAACTTTGGTTTGATTATGGAGATTGTGACAGTCAATAAATGTTACAGGGTGCCAGTGTTTGCTATCTTCAAGACCTCCTGCCTGCACTGTGTCAAAGAGAATGGTGGTGATGATGTTTTTTTAAGAAAAATAGTCTGTACAAATCTAAGTTCAACCATGCAGTTGGATAACAGTTTGGACTGAAATAGCTGTAATCTTTAAAAGTGCTTTGTTAAATGTCTGGTGCTGACAGTGACAGGTGTTGAGATCGGTCGTCCTCAGTGTTGTTTCTGGGACTAATAACCTAGAGACATTTACATAGTGTAATTACACAGGGTGCATTTTAAAGGCTGGTTCAATGCTGACCTGTCACAAAACCTAAGTAAAGGAATAGGTCTGTATTTTTTTACAAGCCACAATGCACATACCAACATTAGCATTTTAGTGCCCACTCACAACTACCAATGGCTAACAGCAGCCAGCAGTAGCTACGGGCATGCCCACTCAAGAAGTGGCTGTGGCTGCATTTGGAGCTCGGCCCCTCTCACAGAAAAGCTGATACGCAAAGAAGTTACTGTATCGTTGTGGCCACAACAGCAGTGAAAGTGTCTGCAGGGAAAAATGTCTGTTGTAATTGTCTATTTGCCAAAAAAATTGATATTCAGTCAGGGTGGCCTGAGAAGGGCCACTTTCTTTCTTTCCACTCATAGAGTTACTGGGGCACGGTACTGGTGCTACCCACTGTTAGCAGCAGGACTGAAATTGTTGTTAGCATCCATACAAACAAGTAAAATTTTCTGCAGTCCAGTCAGTCAGGGTTACTTACTTTGCGAATGTGTCCGAATAACAGTTTTGTAGGTCATTCATTCCCAGAATAGCAACCCTACTTGCAGAGAGCTTCAACAAGTATTGCATGTCTAGTTGAGTCAAGCAACAGCTGAGTTGCTACCATAACGCTGTACCACCTCATAGGAGTATGAACGGGTTCAGTTCATAAGATGATAAGTTCTCTGTTAGTCTGTATGTTTGTTTCAAGTCTTTGCTCAATTTTCTGATGTCATAACAGATGTACAACTCTCCAGTACCAAAGCCTTTAATAAATATGAGGATTTAAACTTTGAGGGAGGTCATGAAACCTCATGGCACTTATAAAAACACCATTGCAGCCAAAACTGCAATTCAAAACTGGAGGTTAAATTAGTGTGTATCTTTATATTTCTCTGATGCTTTGCATATGTATGTGTGTGCCTTCTTCTTTCATTCTTCCTCTCACAGTTTATTGACTTAATTCAGGGAGAACACTTGCGTTGGTTGATGCTCTGATGCCTTCACCCGAGTACTCAAGGACAGACAAACATTTTTTGTGTCTCTGTGCAAACAGCAGTCACTCAGGCCAAACATACAGAAACACAAACACAAACAGAGGTGCATATGCATGCATTCATTAAAAAGGAGAAAAATGACCAAAGCCACCTTAGAAGTGTTCATACCTTGCTATATTTAGAGTCAGTGAGACTCTAGTGCCGTGTCACATGAGCTCAAACTTCACATTCCCCTTGGCCTGTCTGTTCCTGTCTACCTGCATCTCCTCTTTGTGGTTGAAAAGTACAGAACTGAGCTTATTGTTGAAGAAAAATTAACATTTAGGCATGTTTCAACTACACAGTTTGTCGACATTTGAGAAGAATGATTGCTGTGTTTGGCTTTTACAAAGCCGCACATCACTTTTCAGAGGAATGTGGTGTTTTTTCTGTGTAATGACGACAAACACACAGACACGCACCGGTCTGTTTTCATTTTTTTGCTATTTGACAGGAGATGTTGGGTCAACTTCAGTTCAGGCAACAACATAAGCTCCCCATCTATAAATTCTCTGCAGTCATAAGATATACTTGGCACTCCTCTCTCTGTAACACCCGCACTTGCAGGACATGTATAGTCTGCATATTCTGCATAGTCAACTTGTGCTTGATCATGGGTATGTGTGCTTATCATATTACATGACCAAGCATTTGTGCATGCATGCATATGTGCAGATGTATCTAAATGCATTTAGTAGATATTCAGTAAGTGCATGTCAATACCTTTTTACAAGTACATGTACAACAGAAAGCGTGCGTATGTGTGTTTATCTACAGGGCATATTGGAGTCACAGCCCAGAGGTCTTTGTTTTGATCCACAGGGTGTGACAACCCTTTGGCTTCCTGTGCTGCTGTCGTGTTTCTTGCTTCTCTGGCAGGAGCCTCAGACTCGGTGGGTCGTCCAAGCAAGTGGCTACACCTGGGAGGTGAAAGTGGCCAAAGGTATAAAATACCTCACACTCTAAGATCATGGTTTCTTATTTTACATCTCTCCATGGCCTTTACTCCTTAGTTTGACATTGTTTTACACCTTTCACACACTTATCCTTCCGCTCATCCGCACACACTTTACATCACGATACCTTTCATGTTGCCACACCCTATGTTATTTATTGTTACTAAACCGGAATTGGCAATATAAACCTTCCATGTGTGTACTCTCTCTCTTCTTGCAAACCAGAGGGAAGTTTGTTGCAACGGATTAAAGTGTATCTTGGAATCCTCTTCTTTGGGTGTGTCTGTTCTTGTATGTAAATCCTTATTTGTATTCAGGTGATCAAAGAAGATATAGCCGGGAGCCCTGTAATGCCAGTTAACACCTACAGACAAATCTATGAGAGAGAAGTGAGAGTAGATATGTAAAAGGAAAACGACTGGATAGTAATCACCTTTATTTGGCCAAGTATGTTACACACACAAGGAATTTGTTTAGAGAACTGAGGCAGCCATCTGCGGTGTCAATTCAACCAATGGCTCTAACCATCGAGGGCAACTTGGGGGTTCATTGTCTTGCCCAAGGACACTTTGACATGTGGACTGCAGGCACCAGGATTTGAACCTGCTGGTTAGGAGACAACTGCTCTACCCACCTAACCAGTCAACCTCTTCTTTTCTTGTTTGTAACACATTTCAGACATGCCTCTTTCAGTTGGTCTGTTTTAAAGGTTAAGGGACAGAGAAGTAAACAGAGAAAAAGGCTGTGTGTACAATGTGTAGTATAGAAATGATTGCCTCAACTATTAATGTCCTTATGTTTAAATCTGTCATCATTTTTGTAACAGATCAATAAAACATTCACACTGAGATTCAGATTCAGGAAATGAGTGCTCAAATTAAATGCTCAGTATTAACAAGTAAGTATTTGATGTAATCTAATCAGTGAAGGGTATTTTTTCACATCCCATTGTCATTTGTGTGACTTGAACAGTTTTTTTGTTATTGTTGTTGTTGCTAACACAAATTAAAAGAATAACTTAACACCTGATGACTTTGTTTCTATATGCTTGCTGATGTTCTCATCTTGCTGCAGCCAGCGTGAGGGCATATGTTAGGAACAGTATTTGGAGCAGGTGCAGCAGACTTGGAACTTTCAACCAGTAGAGGTCATTGAAAATATGGTGTTAAGTTTAAAAAAAGACAGTTCACAAAACTTGAAAACTTTCAGAACACAATCAAATTGCACATTTTAATACTAACAAAAACAGAAACGAAAATAAGCATGGTAACAAAAACTCTAAGACATACAGGTCACATACAGGACACAGCATCATGACATGCATTTTAAGTACTTTACCATTAACATACCTAAACTGGAAACTTGCTCCTTGGAAACAGGTCACCCTTCACACACACACTTATATTGCGTTTTTATGTCTAAGTGTAAATCTCTCTGTGTGTGTACGTGTATGAGTGTGTATAGCTGATTGTATTTCCTCTGCGGCAGCTGATATTGTAGCTGCTGCGACCCTGTGCACCTGTCATTGTACATCATAGTTCACCCCCCACACACACACACACACGTACACACACATCTTCATGAATAACTTGAATGACTGAATATGTACAAAAAGCCTCTGTTCTTGGACCTAGAAAGGTTAAAGGTGCATAGCATTTCTCAGTTTCATTTTATTTGTTGACAAAGAGCCTTTTGAGGCAGTTTTTTTCCTAAATTGGTTGAGTTATGAACATTTCTTGCATACCCTATAACAAACTATGGCTGTCTGTAATTAGATTATTTGATGAATGCTCTGTTTGGTCAACAGCATGCAGCCCCTTCTTTGTCAAACTGATTTCAGGCCAACTGGCTGCCTGACAAATGACTATTTTCATTATAGAGTGTCATTGAGTACCGATGCCAAAATGGAACTTTGCAATGAGGACTTTTAAGTGCCATCAGAAACACTTACATAATTGGCTTACTGGTAATTTGTAACTGATGACAAACCACAAAGTCAGAGGAACATATGTTTGGTTGAATTGTCTAAATAGCTAAATGCTTATTGGCCAAATAAACTCAACTTTCTGCAGGTTGCTTATTAGAAAGGAAGCTGTGACAAGCTTTGTGATATGAAGCTACTTTGTCTGCTATTATGGTAAGCACATCTCCCACTTGTTAGGTTTCTTTATCCGTCTGTTGGCCTGTATCTTGTAATCACACACACACACACACACACACACACACACGGTTACATTTCAAACTTTATCCTTTTACTCACTAATATATACAACAGCTTATGAATAAATATTTATAGAGATCAGATAACATTGATGTGACTCTGATGGAGGTAGAAAATAGAGACATTTCCTCTGACTAGAAGCTACACTTCTGCAAATCACTTTCAGTTTCAACAAAGAAAATTTCAGATACCGTCTGAATATTTCAAGACAGACACACAAATACAAATAACATGTAAAATGATCAATCTTTTTCTGAGTGTAAACTCGTGTTTCAGTGCTGCTTGTATGAACTCTGATGTCCACATGTATTAACAGACTTGACACAAAATGCACATTAAAACAACTCTTAGTTCAACGCTTCTTCTTTTTGGAGAACCAGATAAATTACATGTATTACACTGGACAATGCAATCAGTGCTTTTACATTTAAAGAAGCCGCAGCAAGCATTAAAACTCAGATATTCTACTTTTTTCATGACAACTATTGAATTTGAAGTAGAAAACAAAACTTTCATTTTTTTTACACCTGCTTATCCAAGTCTTGTTCATGTTACAGTAAATTACAAATAATGGCATGTTTTAAGATTTAAAACACATAGTCAATAATCACTAGTGCACACAACATACATACAGGCAGACACATGTACAAATTATATTTACAGTACACCGTTACCAAAAGTTGACCCCCTACACCTTGTTCAGGTGTAATTGTTTAAACACAAATTAAATAAATATCTATACATGTAAAAACAGGGCTAGGGAGGTTATTTTCAAAATCTAATTTGCCTGCTTAGGGTGATATAATGAGTTTTTTTTTTTTTATTTTTTTTTTTTACAAATAATAATCCAAACACTTTAACTTCAAGCTAGTTTTTTAGTAATGCCAAAATAAGCACTTCTAATCTGTCTCTTCTAATTGCAGTCCTTTTACAGTGAATGTTAGAGATAAGGGTTTGAAAACAATCTCCCCAGCTCTGTACTGTGTTCATACTGTAACAGAGCTACAGAAGACTGGATAAAAAGAAAATCTGGGTGAATGACTATGTCCAGTGAGCGAGAAGGGGAAAGTGGAGCCGGCGAATACGTGGTGAAAGAAAGTGGGCACAGGGAGAGAAAGAGCGGTCATGATAGTCACAAGTTTGGGTCTCAGATGTTTATCTGATCCACAAATATACAGCAGTTAATGATTTTGGACCAGCTCCAGTATGAGGTTTATCAGGCAGGAATGAAAAACAGCCAGACTGTTTTTGATAATCTGAAATGGTTATTATAAACACAGCATGGATAAGACCCTCTTGTTTCAAATAAGACTTTTAGCCACAGGGCAGTACGTATTTTTCTTGTCTGTGTTTTGTGGAGATTTCATTTGGATGTGAGGTTTTTGTTGCTTGCACAAAATCAACATTAGTACTGCAAATGTGGTGCTAAATTTACACATGTTCTTCCTGCTTTGTGAATTCATAAAGAAAGTAATGTCTAAGCATGTCCTGATATGGCAACAGTGTGTTTGGATAGTAATTTGGCAGCTTGGCCATAGGTATTGTATATGTCTTCATCACCTAACAGCTACATTTCATTATATCTAAACATTCATTAACATTCACCTTAAAAGACCAGATTTGTTTTTTCTATCAGGTTCTTACTTTGAATAATAAGATCTTACAAGAACACACAAGATTGCTGCCAAAGTTGGAGTATTTTTTATTATTTTAGCTGAGAAAGTTCTGTATCCTTGCGGGCAGAGTCTTAACTGTTAAAACTTTTGGTATTTACCTTTGATTGCTGCTTTTGTAGTCATTGATTCTACTGTGAAATACCTGTAAAATGCTCCTTCTGAGTACTGCTACTACATTCACAACAGCTAGGATACCTCCAGCCTAGTAGACATTGTTCAAGATATTTGAACGTCCTACCACTGATGACAAGTAGTTGATGCTACAACATCATGGGAATAACTCTATAAAAATTTATGCACCCACTTTTGACTGCTTTTGGAATGAATGAGCATCCATAGTATTTTATTACTCTTTTTGGTGTTTCATTATCCACCTATCATTAAAGCCTTTTCACTTATTTACTGTGATACCTGTAAAGCACAATTATGCTTAAATAATTTACTCCTATTTGTCTTGTATTTCAGTAGCAAGTGTTCCAGATGCAGTTCATTATACAGTAACATCACCTCTCTGTTATTCCTTTAATGTAAACAGGGTGGACAAAATTACAGAACATCTTTCAATAGTTGCCCTGTTGTAAGAACCAGTTCGATTAAACTCTTCATGCTTGGTATCACTAGTTTTTCCCTGTGTGTTGTCTGATTATTTTTGAGGCTGCACATTCTGTGCACGTTTGCACTGTGCTGTGAGTCATGCATCAGTAAAGCTGACACATACTGCTGGTTTACCTGTGTAGCTGCCTTTGTAGTTGTGATCAACAATATTATTAAGAAAACTGGCGCAGCAAAGGTGAACCGCAATCACTAGTAAAATCCTGTAGCTGTGGCACAAACATGCCTAACAGAATATTTGCTCACTACACTAACATTTATAGCCTCAAGCCACCAAAAAGTTGTCATTCTCAAGCATTCATCAAATTGGTGTTTACTGTGTAATATAAATTACTGGGTTATTTGGTCAAGCAATAGAAGCTGTATTTTCCTTACAGCTCCCATTAGCAGAAGTATTAGCCTGCCAATTTGTCAGGGAACCGGGGCCTACTTCTAAAACCTGCTCAATGCAAGAAGTCAGAGGAGCCAGAGTTAGTTGATCATCTTGGATGGAGCTGTCCAGACTGCCCTTCCATCCTGACCTCTGCTGAACGTCCAGCACACCACTCAGGTCCAAGCTCGCCTTTGTCCTACCTGGGGGATTGGAGTAACAATCTCTCCCTCTGCACCATACCCATTCTCTCTTCCCTCCCCCTTTGGTCCTCAAACAGAGTATCTCCTGAAAGGCGTGTCTGAAGTCGGGGCTACGGCAGTAGATGAGCGGGTTGAAGGCTGAGTTACAGTATCCTAGCCAGTTGAGGAGTCTGAAGGGCAGCTTAACGTCACCCAGGTTGAGGCAGGCCACGAGGATGTTGAGGATGAAGAAGGGGAGCCAACATAGTGTGAAGATTCCCATGATAATCCCCAGTGTTTTTAAAGCCTTGTGCTCTTTAAGACAAAACTTTAGACGCCTTGCGGCAGAGTGTTTTCCTTCACCCTTTGCTCTGTTCTCTCCTCCCTTTTCTTCTTTACTTTTGTCTAGACCTCCTGTTTTCTGCATATTTAGACTGTCCTCTCCTGCTTGCTCTCCCATCTCAGCTCCTGCCTGGAGTTTATTCAATGTAGGGCTATCATCAGGATAGGCCAGCTGTGCAGTGTACTGCAAGTTACAGAAATGCCTCTCCCTTCGTCTGATCTTCTCCAGCTGTTTCTGAGCCTCCTGGAAGACCCGGCTGTACAAGAAAATCATCACCACCAGCGGCAGGTAGAATGACACGATTGAGGAAGACACCGCATATGGTGGATTGGTGTAGAACTCACAGCAGCACTCATCAGCCATGCACTTCTTGGCTTTCTCATCATCTGACACCCACCACTTCAGATGGATAGGTAGGAAGGAAATGAGGGAGGCCACCACCCAAACCCCAAGGACCACCACAACAGCTCGACCCCTGATCAGCAGCAGGAGACAAGAGAGTGCACACAGGTGAAGAATACTATAAACCGGTGAGAGAGGTGAGAAATACTGTGCTTGTTTAAAATGTGGGCAAAAATAAGCATCCTCTTATGCCAAGACCACATCTTAAATGAAAATGATTTTTTTTTCACATATGCCTCATCAAGACCAGTAATGAGACACTGATGTTTGAAACTGGTACATTTCCCCTTTAAATGTGTATATTTAATAAAAAAAAAGGGCTTCTCCTGGAACAAGTTCTCTCCAAAGTGCTTTAAAGCATTATTTCCAGTATTTCCAGTATTTCCAGTGGGCCAAACCTGCTGGGGGTCAGCAAAACCACCATGCTCAGTTACACAGTGTGGAATGTTACCTTTGAACCATTTTGTGTGTTCATGTTTCCCAGCATGTTGCACGTCTGGCCACACCCCGAAAAGTGACATTACAGCAGGATTTGCAGGTGGAAAATACCTGCTGTGACGTTACTGGTTTGCGTGCAGCTAAATGAGTGACATGCCGGAAAGTTCAAACGTGTAAAGAATAGAACTCTGGTGTTTCCTCCTTTGTGATGCACTACAGATTTACTGTATGTACTTACAGTGGCCCTGCTCTAAATCCAGAAGTGTTACAAATACAAAAACACCTGAATGGGGAAAACACATGCAAAAAGAATATTTGTGTTTTCTGTGTCTGCTTTGTCCATGAAGCCCACTGTATTGACCAAATAAATGTTGCATTCATTTAGTAGCACAGGAATGAAATTTTGGAAAGCAAATTAATTTTGTTCTTTAAAACATTGTGACTAAGAAGCAACCACTGTTGTATGGTGGATAGACCAAATGAACATTTAAATATTATATTTCAATTTAAATAGTTAAATCCTAAAAGTCACCTTGGCTTTTCTAAATTTTACAATTTGAATGAATTTGATTATTCACAGACAATAAATAATATATGAAAATGTAAAAAAAACAACTGTGATTTCCATAGTGAATGCATGGTCAGGGACCACTTGCAGTTCTTCATGGACCACCAGGGATCTGCGGACCACTGGTTGAGAACCCTGGCTTTAAAATATTTACTAGGAGTTACTTTCTGTTGTACTTTTAAATACTACCACAAAACACTTATTTAACTTCACACCCACACGTCTACATCACAGCTCGCCCATACCTGGTCAGCAGTGTCGGGTATCGGAGTGGCAAGGTGATGGCGAGGTAACGGTCCAGAGCAATCACACACAGTGTTTCAATAGAGGCCGTCACACATAGCACGTCAGTTGCTGTCCAGAACTCACACATGAAATTTCCAAATTTCCAGCGATCCAGCAAGATGTTACTGGAGCCAAAGGGGACCACAACCACACCCATGATGAGGTCAGCAACAGCCAGTGAAGCAATGAAGAGGTTAGTGATTGTCTGGAGCCGCTGGCACCGGAGGAGGGTCATGATCACCAGCACGTTACCTGGACAGAAAAAAAAGATACATCAGGAGGAATTTAACTAAGAGATATCTGAATGTCATATGAATTAACTGCATAATATATGTGAATTTCCATTCGGTTATTAAAAAATGCACTAATTGGAATGATGTAATATTTAATAGCTTACCAAAAACTATGGCCAGAACCAGAAGGGCCATTGCAACACCTAGCAGCACGAGCCCTGGTTGACTGCACACTGAGAAATCTGAAGCCAGTGAGGAGTTGCACTGGTTTGACACAATACTCACAGAAGCCATGATCTGCAGACACACAGAACAACATTGCTTCGTTCAAAATAGATCAATGCAAATAAAAAGTTAAAGGGACTGAATTTCAGAACTGTTGCAGTGGTGAGCAGTTTAACAGGTACAGCACCTCTGTGGGAAACAAATGTTACTTAGGCATTTATTTGCCTCATTGTCATGCATTTAGTAATTTGCAGTGTTCAGTGTGGGCAGTGTAAGCTGTTGTCAGGAGAGTTTATACACATTCTGTTGGGACAAGCCCAAGTTTAGGTTTAGATTTTTTTTCTTGACTTCCTCAGTGTTGATCAGGATGGGCTGCAGCATTCAGGTGTGATCAGACACTTGGAGGTGTATTACTCTAAAGAGTCCTTTTCCAGGCAGTGCCCACTGCACTTAAGTTGTTGTATAATGTTCAGTTGACTCAAACTGCATGTGGGTCTTTGGTCTGTCAGGCTGCTCCAAGCAAGCATAAAGCAAACTGGGTTGTAGCTTTGTTTTTACCCCACAATGGAGAACAGAGCACGAGCAGCAACTGTGGTGGGTAAAGAAGGGCAGCTCTTGCAAAAAGTGTGGTTGTGTGCAGATACTTGAGCTCATAATTGTATATACATTCTGTATGTGCTTGTGCCTGTGTGTGTGTGCATGGAGAGATGAGTGTTCTTAACCCTATAAAACATTTGTATCATATTTGATACGTGAGGTTTCTGAGCAAAAAAAAAAATTGCCCAAAATGCCCCATGTATCAAATGTGATATAAAAGAAATAGAAATAATCTAAATAATATGGCACCTCTATTCCTATATGCCTGGACTGTCTGTCTATGCATATATGGCAAATAAAAATCGTGAATCTGAATTTTCAATCATGAATCATATTTTGGATTTTGTTAAAAGGTTTAATAAACATCTCAGTTCCAAAAAATTAGAATGTTTTGGCTATTTTTTGATGTGTCAGGCTTTACCTGGATAAAATGCAGATGAAACGCTGTAATGTGCCACTTAAAATTAACAATAAAATTATTTATTGCTAAGAAATTAACCTGCTGATCTGCATCAGAGGACATTATATGTCCTTTGTTGTTATTTTGCGGTCCTCAAATTGAACAATCTTTCTCCCAGATATCAATGTACTGTATGTGATATCTGCAGTGTGTCCTGCTGTAATACTGTTTAAGAGATTGTGCATTTCTTGTGTTCATATCATTATCAGCTTGCTTTATTCAAGTCACAGTAAACTGTTTATTTATTTACTATAGTTTTATATTTCTGTTTGTCTGTGATAATGGATAGTAGAGTGACAGAAAACGAGCAGAGCATATGCCAGGCTTACAGGTGGATGTGGGGTAAGAACTGCGACTTGTGAAATGCTATATACCGTAAGCCTCAGCAAAATATGTAATGATGTTTGCAAAAGACGAGCAGCAGCAGCATCAGCAACAGTGCTAGGCCAGGCAGCTTAAATAACCATCTCATTGCTCTGGGTGCACTGAACATACAGGTATATAGGAAAACTTAATGTATGTTACATGTACTGGGTCACAGGCATATATAGTTCTGTTAGTTTCAGTCATGCTAAACAGTATGCATAGGAAAAACATTTGCTTTTATTTATACAGAATAGGCTGACTGAGCTTAAAAGGCTGTTTTGGAGCAGTGGCCTATTGACAGTAGACACCTGGGGATCCTTTCCATCCTGTGACAGCTGGAGAATGGTTCGCATGGTTTTGGATCATAAATGGTTCTACAATAACAGTAAGTCTCTTTGTTTGTTTCATAAGAGGCAGTTTATTTGTTTTTATGTTGTTCTTGTATACACAGTTAAAAGGGAAAAGCTGTTGGTTGGTTATACTTGGATTTCCATGCATGTTGGCACACATATTAAAGTAATACTATATAGAAGTGCATTGATTCACAAGTATTTACCCAGCTCTCCTGTTGAATTTTGGGATGCAATTCAAAATGGAAAAGTGGACCACGATGAGGTTATTTTCATGTCGTTCATCTCACAAATGTTATAAATTGCTGCCCTCAGTAAACAAAGCCTCACAGTGTCATTACATTACTGTTGCAAGGCAGTGCATAGCATGCTGTCAATAATTCTGTCTGCAGCGCACAGCAACGCTTGTGTGAAAATTTGTCGTCATACTTAAAATGTCTCCAACGCAACATTTCTAATTATTAAATGTGGAGGTGTCAGATGATCTGAAAAGCTAACAAATTTTAAAAATCAGTCTTTCATTACTGATGCTTAGAGAGCTGCTTCAATTGTAATGGGTGACGCACAGCACAGCATAGTGTGGCCCTCACAGATAGTAATGCAAACAGTCCAATACTATATACAATATAGAAGCAAGAAGAAATTAATGCATATTCTTCTCTGTAAAATGGTCAGTGCACTTGCTGCTTTCTTCACATTGTTGAACCTTAACGGTGCCTTTCAGCTGTTGACTGCCCTCATTGATCAGATCAATAATCCGGGCAGCTACGTGCACTAATACATAGTCAATATTGCGAAAGAGGCTCTGCTCTTCTCCCTGTGTTGTTTACAGTTACACACAAGAACACCTGACCATTTAAGTTAGGCCAATAATCAAACACAAACAGTTTACTAAGACATATTCTGTAGACCCCAATATTTAGGCAAAGGATGACATGTGATAGCGAGTATCCTGAGCACTTTAATACACAAAAATGAATGTAATAGTGCATGCACAAACAAACACACAAGCACAAGAAAACACGCAAACACAAAGATGGACATTCTCACAGAACACCCAGTTTTTACAGTGCTTACTAGAATCAACTGGTGACAGCAGACTAAAGTGTGAAGGAAGTGTGAAAACCACAATCACGCTAAAAACAAGTCATGAAGAATTTTTTTCCACCCCAATAAAACAAACACATGTGTTATAGATGAAAACTAGATGGATTTACTAACTGTCTCTGGAAAAAATGTACTTTTGCTAAACTATGTTTGTGCCGAGATCAAGGTGAAAGCTGTAATAATAAAATAATACAGATGCTTTTTAAATATCTGAGACTTTTGAGACATTTCAGCACATCGACAGTACACATTTGCAGTAAACGTACAGTAATCATATGCTAGAAAGACATAAATTTTGACTCAAGACTATGACATACATCACTTTATATTATAAATGTCATATATATTTCACAACACAAGTTATACAATTAGCTTTTGATTACCTTAACATATTGCTAAAATCTGTGAAAGTTTAATCTTTTAACAGCATAAAAACTATATGGTTCAGTAATTCCAGAAAATCTTGCAGATTTTTTAAAAGCATTGTATTGATTCATATCTATTTAACTGAACTATATGCATGTAAACCAGACTAAAAGTTAATTTTCCTACCTCCAGACTCCCTTCTCTGCTTTACAATCCAGTGATCTGATAATCCAGAAGCTTTTAAATCCACAACACACAGTATCATTATAATGTGTATGTCACCAGTCTCCTTCAGTCTTTTAGTCTTTCTTCCTCTTTGCTGAGTTATGCAGGTCTAGTTTTGTTTGTAACATGCACACACACACACACCTCATGTACAACCCCTCTTTCAGCCTTCGACCACATTTGCCCTTCTCAAGCAGCTGACCCTGTCACTCTTTTTATAAGCACGTCCTGATGACATCACAGCAGTGTAGTAGCCTATCAGAGGACATGGAATGGCTTTTAGAGTGGATCGCATGTCTGCAATGTACTGACAGCTCGGCAGCCCTATAGAATATCTTAGTTTTTTTTTCTTAAACCTTTATTTATTCATGGAAAGTTTTTTTTGCTCCTTTTCAGCACCAGTCTGTTTCACATCCACACTCTGGGGCTGGCAAATTAGAATCACAGACTTCTGCATTTTGGCTGCTGGGTAGCTGTACTGCTGCAGTTGAGTAGTTCAACCTGAATAGCTACTTCACTGCATTCTCATATTTTTATGTCACACTAGTCTTCTGCAACTGAACTGAACTGAGAGCACTGAACCACACTTTTCCACATTTTATTTAAGCTGCAGCCCTGGTACACAGATAACTGGGTTAATGTTAAGTGATTCTTGATTTAATACAAGCCTGTATGTTTCACTTCCTCAGTGCTGGCTCAGCATTTGAAGATGTTGTAATTGTCCTCAAGCTCATCCTGCAAAAGTAAAGTCTATTAACATTTAACCTGTTTAGTTTGGGAAATGATTTCAGCTAAATGGTATCAATCTAAAGCTGGGACATTGTCATTCTCCTGAAATGTATGAAACAGCATGTGAGAAACATTTTGCAGTTTCTCTAGGTAAACTAAGTGCACATACCATCAGCAAGCAGGGTTACATTTGATATCAAATCCTTTCCCTTAGCCAGTGGGTAAAGAATATCAAAAATTGGGTTCATTGCGAAAAAAAAATCTCAACGATTATAACGTTTTTGTGACTACAGTTTGCCTTCATTTGAGAATGTGCAGTACACACAGTAAGATACCCATCAGTAAAAGCTTCAAAGCGAGTTCACTGAAATTAAAACAGGTTTCACAAGTCCTCTTCTGTACACTTGCTTTATTTACTAAATGGTTTTAGCTCTTCTGGCATGATCAGGGTGGTGCAAAGTTCCTTAAATATAATTAATTGAGTTGTCATGTGACCAGCAAATCACCATAGACACCATATATACAAAACATTACAATTAAAAAAACATTTAGAAGAGTACTGTTGACAGTATCTTTAGTCACTGTTGAAACAAAATTGCAAGTGAAATAATTAATACAGTATAAAAATTGCAGTCATCTTTGCACAGAATGACTCTCAGTTTGTCCTGTGGTAAAAACTGAGATGTCATGTGCCAGCAACTTCTTACAACCGACATGTTATAGTAAAGCAACCTCTTGCAACAGTAATTATGAGACGAGCAAAGTAAGAAGTTAGATGACAGAACAAAGTGTGACAGAAGTCTGCATCAGGAGAAGATTATGGGTTGGATAGATGGGTCAGGGCTTTCCCACAGTCGACTGGTGTTTGATTGTTCTTAACCATGTGTTTATTCTTGTAACTATAACAACAAAGGTTATTTTAACCCAAACCATGAATATTTTTTCTAAATATAATGAAGTAGATTCTGTTCCTAAACCTAATGAAACCATGAGGGTTCAATAATTGACTGTTTTTATGATGATGAAGGCTTGTTATGCTCACTGCTGGAGCGGCTATATGGAGCATGTGATTGTCACCATGACGACAAAGGTCTGGTTAGATGCCACAGTCAGGGTTTGATGGGTACCAGTAGGGACAGATGACATACATGATATTGTTGTTTAAACTGGAGGATTTGTTGATTTTTGATAAAGAATATTGTGAACAAAAACTACTGAAAACATTTATAGAATAAATAAGGTGTAGTGGATGGTAGTCATATTACTTAGTTAGGTAAACGCAGCATTTTACAACATTGTAAAAATACTCTGTAACAAGTAAAAGTCCTGCATTCAAAATATTACTTAAGTAAAAGTTAAAAAGTATTAAAATCAAAACAAACTTAAAGCACTGAAAGTAAAAGTACTCAATATGAAAAATGGCATATTTATAATTATAGTAGTTTTTGTATTAATATGGTTCTGAAAAGTAACTAGTAACTAAAGTTATACTAGAGTAAAAAGTACAATAATTGCCTCTAAAATGTAATGAAGTCAAAGTATAAAGTAGCAGAAAAGGAAAATACTCAAGTAAAGTACAGATACCTCAAAACTGTTGTTAAGTACAGTACTTGAGTAAATGTATTTAGTTACTTTTCACCACTGACAGTAGTGGGGCCCAGTGCTTTTGATCATTTTAATCAGTTTCAAAAATTATACACTGGTGCTCCTGGTGGTTTTGACACTGTGGTAGACGACTGCTTGAACTCAGAGCTGAACGGTGTAAAAGCAACAAGAATGATTTGAAAGGCACTATAATTACATGCCTGTGGTGTAGTTGTCCGGGTGGCTCTGTTTGGTGTTCATCATCATGAATCACTAGGCCAACAGGATTTGTGCAAGGGTCAGCTCTTGGCCTCTTTCTAATGCCCATTTCTTGTTGTCCCTGGTGCCAGGAAGAACTGATCCTTCCTATTTCCAAGTCACCAGCCAGTCATACGCTCCACCCCAGCCATTGCACCATACTGCCTATGGACTTTTAGCCATGGTGTCAGGCTCCAGGGTCACTCATCTGGGTCAAGGCTCTATTCAGGCCCCCAAGTGGTGCAATGACCGACAGTATGGAGGTTTACTGCACTTACTGTAACTTATCTTATAAAGTGATGCACAATCACATAAAAGTTCAAAATATATTGACTTACCCTAACCCTAACCCCTAACCCTAACCCTAACCCTAACCATTTGTTTCCTATGTTTACCACAGCATGACATTCATTATTTTTGGATGTAATCACAAAGAGGCATTACCATATATAACTTCACTGCACAAGATCGTGTTAGATAGAAAACCTCAGAAAGTACCAGGCTACTTTCACATGAGTTTTTTTTACATGTGACTTTGTACACAATGTTCTGTCTGCTCTATGCCGATGACACCCTCCATGTACACAGCAAAAGCCTCCCACACACGCACACCACATGTGGTACAGTTAAAACACTCTCAGTCCAGATGAGACCTGCATGTTCCAGTAGCAGCAACTAAACAACTGTCAGGGACTAAGCGCTCATGCTGCCTAATCAATACTCCTTTCTATTAATAATGTGAATTATGTTTGTTTAAGACTGCTGTAAGATGTAAGTTCACAAACAAGGATAATCTTTATGAAAGCATTGTAAGAAAAGTCAGGAATTTATATCAGATTAGAACATTTAAATCATCGTTAGTTTTTTCACTTTCCCATTTGGTACAGTACCAGGGAAGAGGACACAATGCAAGCTTAATATATGTTTTTAAGACAGGCTTGTTTTTGTTTGTTTGTGTTTTTGTTCATGTACCAGAGTGATACTAACATTTCAACTGCAGTTGGCTCTCCTCACACCATGTCTGCTTTCTCTTTCTGTCATTTTCATTATTTATGTCACTTCCCTCGTTAATCTCGTTCTGTGTCATGATGTCTTTTGGGGCTTGTCTATCAGGCAGCCCAGAGCAATGTCCATGTGGCCATAAGCAATGACTGACAATGCATGTGTGATCATTTAAACACAAGTCAATTATGTTTTGACTACCCAGCTGTAGTCATTATTCTGGTTTCTGTCACTCTGAGTGTGCAAATGTAAACACAGAGGAAACCAGTGCTTGTACCATCAGGAGCAAAACCCAAGTTGTGATATGACTTATGCACTCTGACCCAGCCTCTCTCTACTTCACACGCTCTCTCCCACGATGCGTCTAGTTCATACTATACCATGCCTATGTATGGGAAAAGAGACACAGTGCAGTCAGTATGGCTATATCCTCTTGTCTTCCTAGTCCTAATGCATTCCTCTCTACACCACTTCCTTTCCCTGCCCTAACCCTTCCTCTCTCCACATCCTCCTCTACCTACGTCACCTTAACTGCTAAAATATCCATTCTTTGCAGGCAAAACTCTGCTCACTCATTCATATCTATAATTTTTCCTAGTTGCTGTTTTTCTACTGTGCTAAGGGAGGACAGGGTCGTCTGTAGACATCACATTTATATAGTAATTTGCAACACCATATACATATTACAGAAACATTATGCTGTCCATTTAAGTTTTGACTGTGGAACGTTTTTAAGTCACATAATGATTATAATGAATATATCTGCAAAACATTAACTGGCAGTTTATTTAATTTTTTGTCCCCACAATATCATTTCCTGAAAAATCATAGCCATGCTCATAGCCAACTGGCTATCTTTTGGTGCTTACAACACTTGTTTAAGCTTTGGTAAGGATTGTGGGCTTGGTTATATATTAATGTTGAATCCCACTAACATACTCCAGGCAGTATTGTTTTTGTCATTAGCTGTATATTAATATAATTTCTTGGGGACAGATTTTTTACTGTGTCAGAGCCCACTGAGATTGCTTTTCTGAAAAAAAAAATTGCTGTTTTGTCTATTTATATTCTATCTGATCCTGTGGTTGAACTGTGCTGATAAGCAGTATGACTAGGTGCACATGCAGTGTTACAGCATCAGTTTTTATAAATCTGATTTGCAGGTTTGATGTTTTCATCAACAAAACATATTACATTGGAAAACAAATGGTTTGCAAAGCCACAGTTGTTTTATCTTACACATTTTACATTCAGTTGAAAATATTTTAAGCATCCTAGGCCACAAAATGCACCTGCAGCAGATTAATACAGCACTAATTAATCAAATTTGGAGTGACATCTAGAAGGAAAAACACATTCCCAGGCTCAGCAGGGTTGCGAGGGTGGCATGTTTGTTCTTCTAAGAGAGGCCCCACTCTGTGCAGTATATCCTGTGCATAATGTGTGTCTGGACCACTGAGAACGCAGGCTACTGTTTCCTGCTGCTATATTCCACACATCTGACGTACGTATTTACACCTTGTCCTTCCTGTATGAAGTTTTAAAATTGGCTACAATGATTTCAGTGTTCT